TTTTTGGTCTTTTTGAGACAGGGTCTCCCTGTAGTCCCAGCTGTCCTGGAACTCACTATGTAGACCAGGCTGGCCTTGAAATCACAGAGATCCACCTGCCTCTGCCTCCCGAGTGCTGGTATTAAAGGCATGTGCCACCATGCCTGGCCCTTTAAACATTTTTTATTACATCTTATTTGGGGAGGTGGTATGCCATGGCACATGTGTGGAGGTTAGAAGACAATTTGCAAGCATCAGCTCTCTCCCTCCACCATGTGGTCCTGAGGATTGAACTCAGGTCAGCAGGCCCTGCCCACCACCACCTTTACTCACTGAGCCATCTCACCAACCCCCTGCCCAGCTTCTTTTTAAACTGTGGATCACAACTCCATATGGGGTCACATAACTGAATGTGGGGATCCTGAAAATTTTGGCAACAGTAAAATGTTTCTGAATACAGAATAACCAAACATTAACTCAAAATCATATTAGTAACAAATCTAAGATGTTTCTCGTGTATTCACATGTGACTCATTGCCATCTTCCCTGCTAGTAGTCCCAGTTCTGAACACAAAATCTGTGTACTCTGCACATTCCATCACCATGCATCAAAATGACTGCCTAAAATGCATAGGCTCAGATTTGAGACTGGTATATGTTTATCAACTGCAGTGCTTTTATTATACATAAAAAAAAATTTTTTTTTTGCTTTTCTAGAAACATAATGGTTTAATTACAGAAAATTAAGACTTTTTAGTATTTCCTACTGTCATTCCTCAGCATGTAAGTATCAAATTTGTATGTGTTTGGATTGTATTATGTTAGGATGTTTAATTTCTTGTTGCTTGGTTGTTTTTTTGAGACAGGTTCTCACTATGTAGCACAGACTGGCTTTGAACTCACTATGTAGACCAGGCTGGTCTCAAGTTCACAGAGATCTGCTGTCTCTGCCTCCCAATTGCTGGGATTAGAGGTGTGTGCCACCACACCTGGCTTAGGATGTTTCATTTTTAAAAGTGCTATTTTAGCCAACCAGGGCTACATAGTTGAGACCTCTGAGGGCAGTGCATGACAGGGGTGCACTTACACTCATGCAGGCAATAGACTCATATACATAAAAAAAGTAATAAAAAAATATTTTTTTAAATCATAAGTAAATTATGGCTTAGGATTACAACATTTCCAACAATTTCTGAAATGGTACTAAACATAAATATTATATATTTATTTGAATCAGTATTGTCAGCATTAAAAATTATGAAATCAAAGTATCAATCAACTCTGAAAAACAAAGATACTCTACATCCTGCAGTATCAAATACTCAGCCAAGAATGAATTCTTTATGTAAAAATAAATATGTACATCTACCTCATTAGTATCCAAATTTGCTTTACTCTTTAATAAATGGAAAAATTACATATGTATATAAATAACTTTTAAACATTGACTTTGTTTGTGTGTATGTATATGAGCATGGACAACTTGTGGTACCATTTGGGTTCCAAAGATCAAACTCAGGCCATTAGATTTGGTGGCAAGTGCCTTTACCCTCTGAGCTATCTTGCTGGACCCCAAAGAATTATTCTAAAATAAACTTCTTTATGATTCGTTATCAGTAAATGTTCAACATATAATATATGCCTATTTTACATACTCAAATGCCCCAGGGTTTGTATAAAAGTTTCTCAAACAAAAAGGGGTGAATATTGGAAAAAAGAACTGATGAGATGGCTCAGTGGGTAAAGGTTCTTGCAAAGTCTAACAACTTGAATTTGATCCCCAGGATCCACACAGTGGAAGCAGAGAACCAAGTCCTATAAGTTGTCCTCTGACTCCCAAACAAAGCATTTGCATGCCTATACACAAAAAGAGAGACAGAGACAGACACAGAGAGACAGAGACAGAGACAGACAGAGAGGCAGGGAGGCAGGAAGATAGATGTTATTCCTTCATCTAAGTATGTTTGGAGGCTTGAGTTTGAGTGTAGCTAGGTGGTAGAGTGCTTGCCTAGCATGCACAAAACCTTGGATATTGACTCCAGCACTGAGAAAAAAAACAGATTTATAGCCAGGCATGGTGGCCCATGACTTTAATCCCAGCACTCAGGAGGCAGAGGCAGGCAGATCTCTGTCAGAAAAAGGCAAGCCTGGGGGCTAGAGAGATGGCTCAGCAGTTAAGAGCACTGGCTGCTCTTGAAGAGGACCCAGGTTCAATTCTCAGCACCCACATGGTGGCTAACAACCATCATAACTCCAGTTCCAGGGAATCTGACACCCTCTTCTGACCTCTTCAGGCACTGCACAACACAGGTACACCTACCTACATGCAAGCAATATACTCATAAACATAAAATAAAAAAATTTTTTTTAAAGGCAAGAATGGTCTACATAGTAAGTTCCAGGTCAGCTGAGGCTACAGAGAGACCCTGTCTCAAAAAAAAACTATATATTCTGGGCATGGTAATAATGCCAATTGGAATAAAAAAGAAGTGTCCTTGGATACCGAGAACAATTTGGTTTTCTTGTTTTGTTATGCAACAGGGTCTCAAGTAGCCTAGGCTGGCTTTGAACTCACTATGTGATTGAGGCTAGCCCTGAACTTACAATCCTCCTGCTTCTATCTCTCAAGTGCTAGGATTGAGAGGAATGTACTACCACCCCTAGTTGCCTGTTCTGTTGTCATGTCACATGTATTTCATTACTCTTTTTTTCTCCTTCCTCCTTTTCCTCCCCTTTCTACTTTTATCAGATACATACAAATTTAGTTGATATCTGATTAGCCAAGGATGAGATCCCCTATAAGAACTTAATGACCAGGGCATCTGCCCAGTACCCACTTACCAGTGGAATATGAGTGCTCCATCGAGCATTTCGTTTAATGGATCCAACCACAATGTTAATCTCCCCTTGAATGATGTAAATATTCTTATCCACCATCCTGACAAACCTACCAAGACAGTTAAAGAAAAAAGATTGGTTAATTTTGAATATTCAGCTAAGTATGACAGCACATACCTATAATCTCAGCTACTAGAGAAGGCTGAGGCAGGACAATAGAAACTTCAGGGCCTGCCTGGGCAACTTATCAAAATCCTGCCTCAAAATAAAAATAATAAAAAGTGCTAGAGATGTAGCATAGTGATAAGATGCATGAGGCACTTGTCAATACCCAGTATAACCAATTAATTAATTAACTAATTTGGTTACTTAGAGCACACTTATGATTAGCCTACTGTTATACTATGGTTAGCCACCTGTTATACTAAGATAAAGTTCATCTTAGGTTATGAACCTAACTATATGGCTTTCCTAGTGGTCTATGGAAGTTCCAAGTAGCTCAAGATACAACTCAAAAATCAACAATGCAGAAACATTCTCAAAGTCTGATGCTTCAAAATCAATCACTCCCAAAATCCTATGAGACCTTAAGTATACAATACAATACAATATAATACCTTGAATATGATAGGTCCCCACATAGGTTCATGTATTAGAAGCTGATGGGCTTTGGAAAATGATTGGATCCTGAGGGCTCTGACCTAATCAACAGATTAATCACTGGATGGACTCATAATATGATGGTATTAGTGGAAACAGTTAAAAGTAGTAGGTGGGGGGAGGCTGGAGAGATGGCTCAGTGGTTAAGAGCACTATCTGTTCTCGCAGAAGACCCAGATTCGAATCTTGGCACCCACATGACAGCTAACAACCGCCCATAACTCTAGTTCCAGGAGATCCTGGATCTGACACCCTCTTCTGACTGCCAAGGGCACTGCATGACACAGGTTCACTTACATACACTCAGGCATAACACTCATATGCATAAAACAAAAATTAATTAATAAAAATTTTTTGGTCTCTTTTGAGACAGGGTCTCCCTGTAGTCCCAGATGTCCTGGAACTCACTAGGTAGATCAGGCTGGCCTCAAACTCACAGACATCTGCCTGCCTCTGCCTCCCAAGTGCTGGGATTAAAGGCATGTGCCACCACGCCTGGCCATTAAATAAAAAATTTTTTTTAAAGTAGGAGGTAGGCATAGTTAAAGCAAATAGACCTCTGGGGTGTACGTCCTTTGAGGATATATTATACCCAGATCCTTCCTGTATCCCTTCTTTCTATTTCTATCTACCATAAGAGGAACCCCCTTTGCCACATATTCCTGTGGCCATGATGTTCTGCCTCAACATAGGCCAAGACGCAATGGAGTCAAGGACTACAGATTGAAGCTTTTGAAACAACAGAGAAAATAAAATTTTTTCTCTGTGTAAGTTGTTCTGTAAGGTATGCTGTCCCATTGATGCAAAATTGACTAATACAAGGCACATTAATGATGTTAGCTTGTTAAAAACAGAATTTCAATTCTTCCCCCTTTTTTGAGACAGGGTCTCCCTGTTGCTCCAGCTGGCCTGAAACTTGCCATGTAGAACATGCTGGCCTCCTCATCTTCATCTGCCTCAGTCTCCAGAATGCTGGGATTAAAGGCTTATGCTACCACATCTACCTCTTCCTTTTTTTTTTTTTTTTTGTCTTTTTGAGACAGGATCTCCCTGTAGCCCCAGCTGTCCTGGAACTCACTATGTAGACCAGGCTGGCCTTTAACTCACAGAGATCCGCCTGCCTCTGCCTCCCGAGTGCTGGGATTAAAGGTGTGCGCCACCACATCCAGCTAATATTTTATTTATTATTTTTATTTTATGTGTATGAATGTATTGCCTGAATGTATGTGAGTGCACCCATGTCATGTGATGCCGCAGAGGTCAGAAGAGGGCTTCAGATTCCCCTGGAACTCGAGTTAAGGACGGTTCATAGCTGCAGTGTGGGTGCTGGGAATTGAACCCGGGTCCTCTAAAAGAGTAGTCAGTGCTCTTAACCTCTGAGCCATCTCTCCAGCCCCCACCTCTTCCTTTTTAAAACATACTGAATAAAGTAATAATGAAAACTCAACTTGAAGTGAAAAAAGCCAGACATGGTGGTGCAGGCCTGGAATCTAATCCCAATACTTGGAAAATTGAAGCAAGAAGATCAGTTCGGTCATCCCCCAGCTACAACACCTTGAAGATTAAGAAGAATAGCTCTCCAGCCATGGTGGCACATGCCTTTAATCCCAGCAGTCCAGAGGTAGAGGCAGGCAGACCTCTTTCTGGTCTACACAGGGAATTCCAAGCCAGCCAGAGCTACATAGTAAGATCCTGTCTCAAAACAACAACAAAAATTGTTTTGCTAAATATTGCATCATTTTCCAAGTCAGTTCTGGAAAACTATACAGTAGAAGTGACAGTAGCAGTGCCATGATCTTTGAAAAGTTCTGAAACTTTATGTTCACTTACTTATATAGGAACTAATTTTTTTTTTTTTTTTTTTTGGTCTTTCTGAGACAGGGTCTCCTTGTAGCCCCAGCTGTCCTGGAACTCACTATGTAGACCAGGCTGGCCTTGAACTCACAAAGATCCTGCCTGCCTCTGCCTCCCAAGTGCTGGGATTAAAGGAGTGCACCACCACACCCAGCCTAGGAAATCTCTAATTTTGACACAAGGTTTTACTATGTAGCCCTGGCTGACCTAGAACCCAAGACCAGCCTTGAACTCACAGAGATCTGCTTGCCTCTACCTACTGGGTGCTGGGATTAAAACTGTGCACAACCAATCCAACTTTTGAAGTAGATGTTTTTTTAAATGCTGCTCCTATATGAATATCTGAAATAAAGCTGAAATACTAATTTAGTACTTTATGTGTTCCCAAAAGGAGCAAAAGGATTTTCCTTGCTGCCTAGAATAGCACTTAGAAAAGATACTTAATTCTCTCCCCAGGTAAAAACACTGAAAAACAGGATTTCTTCGTGGCAGACTAGGGATATAGTTCAGTTGACAGAGTGCTTGCCAAGTATGCACAAAGTTCAATCTCCAGCACCACATAAACCAGGCATAATGGTGAACACTTGTAACCAAGCACTGGAAGAGTAGAGGCAGGATAATCAGGTTAAGGTCATCTTTGACCACATACTGAATTAGAGTCCAACCTAGTATACATGAGATCCTATCGCCAAGAAAAATTTTCTTCTTGGCAAAGAGAAAATCCTAGGCATATGAAACAAATTTACCACTTTCCATTATTTAAAAACCTTCTTCAGGGGCTGGAGAGACGGCTCAGCAGTTAAGAGCACTGACTGCTCTTGCAGAGGACCCAGGTTCGATTCCCAGCACCCACATGGCGGCTACGAACTGTCCTTAACTCCAGTTCCAGGGGAATCCGAAGCCCTCTTCTGATCTCTGTGGCACTGCACGACACGGGTGCACTCACATACACACACGCAGGCAATACACTCATATACATAATAAAAAAATAATAAATATTTTTTTAAAAAACCTTCTTCAGAGCCAGAGAGGTAGCTCATGCCTATAATCCCAGTACTTAAGAGGTGAAAGCAAGAGGATCACAGTGAGTTTGAGGCCAGCCTGGGCCACAGACTAAGACCCTGTCATTCTATGCTCTCTCTTTTATTTAAACTCAAAATCTAGTCCCAGCTGGCCTCAAACTCACCCCCATACTCAAGTTCGGATTATAGGCATGGGTTACCACTACACCCAACCTGGGGAATCTAAGGGAAAAAAAAAAAAAGGAAAGGGTACTGCAGAGATGGCTCAGGGGTTAAGAGGAGCACTGGCTGCTCTTCTAGAGGATCAAGGTTTGGGGCCCAACTAACAATCATCTGTAACTCCAGTTCCAACGGATCTATTGCCCTCTTTTTTGTACACACATGGTGTACTTACACACATGGCAGGCAAAATACTCATACACATAAAATAAAAATAGTCAGCCTTGGTGGCACACATTTTTAATCCCAGCACTTGGAATGCAAATGAAGGTGGATGTGTGTGAGTTCAAAGCTAACCTGGTCTACATAGCAAGTTCCAGAATAGCTCACCCTATATAGTGAGACCTTGTCTCAAAAACAAACAAAAAAAGATAAATTTTAATGTAAGTTGGGGAGTAGTAAGAATATAGTTAGACAAAGAGGCTGAAAGAAAGTGAAAGCAATAAAGTTATCAAGCCATGGAAAGAAAGAATTCTAGAAATATTTACTTAAGTACCTATTGTATATAGACATCTTTAAAAAAAAAAATTAAGGGTCTCTCTAGAAACCAAAGCTGCCTTTGAACTCGTTATATAACTGAGACTGGCTTTGAACTCCTGACCCTCCAGCCTCTATCTCTTGAGTGCTGCAATTACAGGCATGTACCACAATGCCTGGCTATAAAACACTTGTTAGAATGCAAATGAGACAAAGATAGCAGGGCTTTGTGGTGACACATGCCTTAAATCACAGCACTCCAGAGGCAGAGACAGGCAGCTCTCTGAATTTGAAGTCTTATATAGCAGTTCAGCCCAGCCAAGCCTACATAGTAAGACCCTGTTCAAAAAAAAAAGGCATGGAAAGAGTTCAGACTTAGTATATGAATGACTATATGTTACTGTTCATGTAAAAAACCAACCCACCCATGCAAAATACTAAATTTTTATTTGAAAAATATGCCATAGTTAGCACACAAAAAGATAAAGAGTAATACAATAGCCAGTACCTAGATTAATGGTACAATTGAAGATGTATACTTCCCAGTTACCTTCCTTTCTTCACCCATAACTCCTATTATTGTAAGTCTGATGCTTACTAAATCCTTTCTACTCTTATTTCACTATATGTATCTTTAAATAACATACAGTATTATTCTACATCTTTTTATATATAATTAATATTTTATATATTATTCTGAAATTTATGATTC